GGAGGTACACGGGGTCACCATCACGGGAGGTACACGGGGTCACCATCACAGGGGGTACACGGGGTCACCATCACGGGGGGTACACGGGGTCACCATCACGGGATATACACGGGGTCATTATCACGTGATGTACACAGAGTGACATCACATGATATACGTGGGGTCACCACCACAGGATATACACGGGGTTACAATCATGGGATGTACACGGGTCACCATCACAGGATGTACACAGGGTCACAGTGGGTCAGAGCCACTTCTCCAACAACAGCAGCGCTCCCTGGGGCTCCTTTGATTGAATTTCAGAGCCCAGAGCCATCAAGTCAGTGCTGACTCCTGACAACCCTCCATTGACTTTCCAAGGCTGTAAATCGTCATGGGAGGAGAGTGTCCGTCTTAACCCTGGGGGCACCTGGTAATTTAGAACTGCTTTCCATTTGGTTGGCAGTGCAGCCTGCTGTGAACTACACCACTAGGCCAGATTGCTGCCCGCCGGTGCCGTACAAGCTGTGGTCCCATGAGGTACGTGTGAGCACGCTTGCTCCTCTGCGGCTGACCAGCGCGGGACGTTATCAGACTGCCACATCTCGGCCATCACGAAAGGGAAAATGAGTGTCTCGTGCAGCCCTGCTTTACTTCTTTCTTATCACGGAGTGAGCGTCTCTGCATATATTCCAGTCGTTGGTAGTTCCCTTCCATGAAGTCTTCATATCCTTGGCTCATTTTTCTGTTGGTTTGCTAACCTTTTTCTTATTGGTTTGTGACAGTCTTCTGGTATCAGGAAAATTAGTTCTTTGTCCGTGACAAGAGCTGCACATATTTACCCTTTGTGAGGGTGGGTTGTTTTGGAAGAGGAGTTTTCTTTTTTTTCCTCTCAGAACTTTTATATAGTCGAAGGCATCAATCTGTTTGGTGACCGTATGGCTTTTGTGTCAGGAACCCTGGTGGCACCGGGAATTAGACCGGCTGCTATCCAGAAAGGTCAGCGGCCGGATCTGCCAGCTACTCGGTGGGAGACAGATGTGTCTGTGTGAAGATTAGAGTCCCCGGGACCCTGGGGAGCGGTTCCAGCCCGCCCTGCCGGGTCGCTGCGCGCAGTGTGGCTTTTGGTGTGGGGATTATGTGCGGTACTTAGAACACACTTGGCGAGTCCATTTATCTTTGCCAAGATTATGTATTGTAAACTTCACGTGACTTCCTTTTCTGCTTCCTTAATAATACCATTCCTCCTCTTGAGAACTTCGATCCACCCGGCACCTGTTTGGAGGTGAACTGTGAGGAAGAGATTTGACTTCACTGCCCATCCGCTAAGGCTCCCCGGCTGTTTCCAGACCCTGTTTTGAGTAGCTGCTCTTTTTTCCCCCACAGACCTGAAATTCTGGCTTCTCTGTTCGTTTCCTCATTCCATATGTGTCTGAATCTGTTTCTAGTCTGCTCCTTTGCCAGTCTGTGGAGATAGCAGCGCACTGTTTTAATTATTGCAGCTTTATAATATAGCTCAACATCTGGTGATGCCAGTCTAGCCTCATTGCCACTTTTCCAGAATTTTCTTTTATGGTTTTTTGTTTGTTTGGGTTTTTTTTTTAGTGTTTTATTGTTTGGGGTGGGGTATTTGTTTGGGTTTGGTGTTTTGTTTTGTTTTAGTTACTTTTAATTTTTTGTGTGAACATTAGAAATACTTTCTCTAGTTAAAAACAAAACGTGTGTGTGTGTGTGTGTGTGTGTGTGTGAGAGAGAGAGAGAGAGAAGCTGAGGAAGAGTTTAAGAAGACGGTGTCTGTATAACTCAGGTTCGTTCTCTCCGTAAGTTCCCATCCACTCCCAGGCATGCCTGTCCCACCAAGGAGGAGAGCAGCAGGGTGGTCGTGGACAGTTGTACAGGTTGTCTACTGAACAATCCTGGGACTGCGGCGGAGGGGAACTGCTGCTCAGCCGCCGGCTGTGTTCTCTGGGTTAACCTGGCATCTCTACGTTTGTTCAACAGTCACAATAGCCACCCTTGCTGCAGCCCACGTCAGGCACTGTTCTAAGTGGTTTATGGTTTTTACTTTATTGCATCCTTAGAACACACAGACAGCTAGGGAGACTGAGATGCAAAGAAATGAAGCCTCTTGTCCAGAGTCAGTGTTTGATGTTCCCCGTTTATGGTAAATGTATCAGTCCCCTCAAACACACACAGAGGCAGATACCTGCAAATACACATGAGCACATTCACACAGACATGCGCAGAGACACACAGACAGAGACACCCACATACATACACAGAGACACTGGGACACCCATCAGTAACACACACACAGTGATTTCTGCCAAGCCCCCTGTTATCTGGCTGATTTTGATGTAACAACGTTCCACCAGGTTTCTGAGGTTGTGATTTTGTCCTGAGAGAAACTGCCCGTCTTTTCCCACAGAGCACCTGGTGGATTCGCACACACACTCCTAACACCTCTGCTGTCTCCTCCTTTAACTGGGGCAGGCCGAGCAGGGAAGCCGTGCTCTCATTCCTGGGTACCCTGCAAGACACCTGCACCCAGATCCCTGCAGGGCACCTTTCGGAAGTGGGCTGCCTGCGCTGAAGGGCTGTGGGAAGAAGAGGTAGGTGAGCTGTTACCTGTCTGTCCAGCTCCCTCTTCCTGCTGGAGCATCCGTCCCCCATCTCGACTCTGCTGGGGCTACTACCCCCCAAGCTCCAGCCCAGCCAGCACCTGCTCGCTCCCACCCCCTTCCCCTTCCCCAAGCCATTATCTCCTGCAGCCCTGGAATCAGCCCATTCAAGCAAAAGGCTTTTGGCTCCAGGCTGGCACCCCCGGGAGATCCTGAGGAATGAACAGACAAATGCAGCCCTGAGAGCAAATTGCCCAGTGAGCAGGTTTACAGAGGCCTGGTGTCTGGGTGCAGAGCTGGTGTGCGTTCACGTGTGTGTGTGTGTGTGTGTGTGTGTGTGTACGTGTGTGTACGTACACGCAAGCCCCACCACCCTCTGCCCGTCTCCGACTGTTCCGGCTCTGCGTCAGCCCCCATCCAGGGGACTTAATCACTCCAGGGCTGAGAATGTTATTGTTTTAAAACAAACGAGTGATGACAGGAACTAAGGGAGGGTTTTTAAAAACGCGATTCAAAGGGCTCTTGAAAGCTGCAGGGGAATATGAATGCGCCTTTGAAGGGCGAGCGCGCCCCATTCGTTAAGCGGGGAGCAGAGAGGGCTGCTCAGGCTGTAGCAAGGCGTTCTCCTTAGAAAATGGGTGCCCGCCGGCTTCTCCGCCCTCCCAGTGCCCAGCCAGAGTGGGCGAGGGTCCGGAGGCATGGCTGCAGGTGGACGGAGGGACAGGGTGAGCAGGGTCACCTCCCTCGAGGACCTGTCGTCAATGGGGCACCTTTGCGATTGTCTTCAAGGCAGTAGGTTCACGTGACGGTTGTTAAGAATGTTGGAAAGACAGGCAAGTGAGCGGTGTGACGGAAACGCGAGTGGTCAGGACCCAGTGACAGTGGTCATGTGCAGGAGTGGGTGCTCCAGCCACAGTCAGTGCAGCCCCCTCGGGTGTATCCCCCTCCTGGCTAGCGCCAGGTGACTCTCTGGTGGCCCCTACCCCCAGTGAAGCCCAGTGGCAGGATTGGGGATTTGATGAGGACTTCTCCACACACTTGTTAGTGACCCACTCGTAACGCTGATGCTTTGCACATTAGGATGCAGGGAGTGGGGGTGCTCTGCCGTGGAGCCGGCTGACCGGGGCCCAGCGGTCCATTCTGGCCCCTTCTCTTGAGTTGCACGTGTGTGCTGGAGCCCGCCCGGAGGACTTGGCTTGAAAACCACGAGGCCCAAAACTCTCTCCACCTCAAAGTGCAAGGACAGACGTTGGGGCCCAGGTCCCCAGACCTCCCTGTTGCTTTCTGGAGGCTAGCGTGGGATGCAGGTGAGGTGGTGAGGCACCCACATCCAGCTGGCGGGCCAGCCTGCCGTCTGTCTGGGTTCCCTCTGTCCAGCACTCCCCCTCCCTTCTTCTCTTCCTCTTTTTTCTTTGGATCCAGTTGTTAGGACAAAAGAGCTCCTGGTTTCCCACCCTCTGCTTTCACAGGCAAGTCCCTGGATGGCGCAGATGGATAACAAGCTTGGCTGCTAATCTGAAGCTTGGAGGTTCAAGGCCTCCCAGAGAGACTCTGAGGGCAAATGTAGAGGAAGTGGGTGATATTCCAGGCACAGGAAAGATTGTACCCTTGGTTTCAGGGTTCTCTTCAGTCTTGGGAGCACAGGACTCGAGCTTCCTCCTGTTACCTCCCCTCCAGCTTCTCTCAGCCTTATCTTCCTTTGCAGTTTACACCCCGTTTGGTCCACGTGTGAAAAACATCCTTCCATCCACCCTGGAAGGAAAATTGCAGACACAAAGCATATGGAATGGATGGGAATCTCAGGTGGAGAGAGAAGGAAAGTGATGTAACAAGAAGGTGGGCAGCAGGGACAGATGGCCCTGGAGTGGCCCCTGGGGAGAGGACAGGCAGGGAGGGGCAAGTGGGAGCCTGCTTATTAGGCACGGAAGTGCCCCCCTGACTGTGAGAGACTGAGTGAGGCTCCAGAGAGACGGAACTGACTGATCCAAGTTCAGATCCTTCCCAGCTGTGTGTTAAACAAGTTACCTCACTGCTACCTGTTCTACCTATTCAGGTGTTTCTAGAGTACAAGTGAGCTAACGCATCTAAGTAAGCAGGTGCTAACTGGTGGCTCTCTGTCTCTGTTTCCTGCAGATGACGTGTCCCCTTATTTCAAGACAGAGCCGGTGCGGACTCAGGTGCACCTGGAGGGGAACCGCCTGGTGCTCACTTGCATGGCCGAGGGCAGCTGGCCGCTGGAGTTCAAGTGGCTCCATAACAACCGAGAGTTGACCAAGTTCTCCCTGGAGTACAGGTAAGCCCCTCTTCCCCCGCTGCTTCACAGATGCCAGCTCTCCTGTGTGCAGTTCAAGTTGGTATCAGGACTGGGGGCCGGAGAAGTGGGCTGGGGGGACATCTGGCCATAGGCTCCCACTCTAGTGCAAAGGCTGTCCTGGTGATGAAGTGATTAAACGCTTGACTACAAGCTGAAACCCCCTAGGAAGAAAGACGAGGCAGTCAGATTCTATAAAGGTTGACTGTTTGGGGGAACCCTTGGGGCAGTTCTCTGCTGTCCTGTGAAGTCGCTATCTGACAGAATCAACCTCGTGCTGACGGGTTTGGTTTTTCTGGTTATCTGCCAAAGGCTTCACCTCTCTGGTAGTTAGAATCCACTGGCTGCTCCCAGGGAGAAAGGTGAGCTGTCCCTGCCCGTGCAATTTACAGCCTCAGAAACCCGGTGAACCGTCAGCAGTGAGTCACTTCTGACTTGACAGGGATGAGTGAGGCTTTCCTTCTAAGGATTTCCGGTGGCAGAGCTGGTTAAATGTCAGGCTGCTAATACAAAGGTTGGAGGGTCGAATCCACAGGACGAATCTGTGGGAGAAAGATGTGGCAGTTCTTGCAAACCTTATGAGTAGTTCTGCGCTGTCCTGCAGGTCTGTTGTGAGTTGGCATTGGCAGATGGCAGTGAGGTATTATTGGCTTTGTTTTGGGGGCTTGGGGAAGGCAACCCTGCCCCAGCTGTGAGAAGATCTTGCCGAGATAAGTCCAGCAGAGATGGCAGAGTGGTGGCTGGCATCCCTGCCCTGATAGGTGGACAGAGAGGATTGGGGAGGGGAGAGAAGACTGGCTCCCAGCATCTTTGACCGTGACCATGGCTGTGACCAAAGTCCCTTTGTCTCTGCTCACAGATAAGAACTCTCTATCTCTAAAGTAGGCTCTGGACCCTGTGGAGGATTATGGACATGCAACAATGTGGGAGAGACATCTTTTTAGGGAACAGTTCAGGTGGGATATGGAGGTGGCCCTCCCAGGGCTCCTGAACTAGGCTAGACTGCAGAGCCAGGAGAGAGCAGAGATGAGTAAAGGACCAGGGTCTCAGCAAGGGCAAGTTCACTGCCAGAAATGGGAATGAACGAGAAGCTTGACTTCTCCAACGCAGCCTTTCCTGTGGCCTCGCAGAGCAGGGAGGAGCTCGCCTCCCTCTCTCCCTCCCTCCTGCTCTTATCCTCCCATCTCTGCCTTTTTTTATTGGCTCCCAACCTGGTACTGGTGATTAATCCCTGGCCTGATATACATAATCGGTTTTGTTGGAGAAACAAGATTGTCTTGCCCTGGGGATGGTGATACGAATCTGCCGCCAGGGACAGGAATGCAGATGAGAGGAGGGGGAGTTAATGTTGTTCCTGTAGAACCATCGGATGCTTTATGAGGCGAGGATACCAGAGTTTAGGGTTACTTCCAGGGAGGAGGGGGATGAGCTTCGGCCCTGATCTAGACTAGATTGTCTAGTGTGAGGTGTGGTCCTGGTGGCACAGAATGGAGAGGGAGGGGCCAGGGAAGGAGGACTGTCCTTGACCCCTGTGGAGGGAGAGAAGCCTGGACCAAGAAGCAGAAGGCTCTTAGCATGGTCACTCTAGGTCTTTCACCAAGAGCCTACAGGGAGACCAGAGGGACCTCGCTGTGCAAACCCTGGAAAAGTTTTCACTTAGGGACCCAGAGCTGTACCTGGTAGCAGCCTGGCACAACAGGTTCAGTTTTCACCACCCTTGTGAAGAGTCTCTGCTTCTCACCTGGAGTGTGCATGTGCTTGGAAATGAGAACACCTGGAATGTGCAGATGGTACACCATAAGTAGAAGTGGTGCTGGGGCCGGCTGGCCTGCCCTTGACCTCCAACAGTGTGGGGCTTTGGCAGGAGGAGAGTCAGTGCTTGGTGTGGTCCAGAGCTGCTCTTTGGCTGCCCTTACATACCTAAGACCCAAGGAAGTAATTTCCGGCTGACTAAGGACCATATCTGCTCATGAGGGGACAGACTGCCTTGAGAAGCAGTCAGTTCTCTGTGCTGAAGGCATCACAGTAGAACTCAAAGTCCATCTGTGTGAGGATGACGGTAACAATAATAATAATCGTTGTCAATGAGGAAAAATGCTATATAAGCCAATGTTGTGGTGTACACTTTGTAATCATTTCATTCATTAATCCTGCCCGCAATCCTATGAGTAGGTTTATTCCCATTGTACAGATTAGGAAACTGAGGCTTAAAGGGGTTGAGTCATTTACACAAGGTCAGCTTGCTGAGCTGCACTCCAAATCTGCATCACCTGACTCTACAGCAGAAATTCTGTACCTTCCACCCCACTCGCTCTCCTAGAGGGGTGAGGGTGGGGGGGTGAGGGCTGCTGGGGCAACAGGTCTTCTAGGTTTTTATTAACTGTGCTGTGCAAAGTCTAAAAAACAAAGCAGAGATGAGATCCACTTTGGATCTTCATTCAGTAGATATAATGGAGGGAAATTGCATGAGCTGCCACTGGTGACGCTTTGCTTCCTTAATCCCGTGAGAGTTCACATGGCCTGGGGTGGCTCACATGTCCACATCTGCTTAGGAATGTCCTGCAATCAAAGCGTGCTGTGGTCAGATAAGGTCTCTGTCCCTCGGTTTGCCTTTCCAATGCTTTCTAGCTGTTTACTTTTTATTTTGTAAAATTTCAAGGCTTAGAAAAATATTAAGAATGATGCCATGCGCACCTTTCCACATCACCAGGTATTAATATTTGGCCTCATCTGTTCTTTCTAGTTCATTTCCTTTCCACAGTTTTCGGCTCAACTATGAAGAATTTGTTACAAACATTATGTTGCTTCACCCCTAAGTAGTATTTCCTAAGAACAAGACATTCTCCTACAAAACCACAATCCAGCTTTCACACTTGGGGAATTCAGCACTCTCTGCACTTGTCCTAATTACATCTTTTATGGTCATTATTGTTGTTGTCCAATACAAGGCTTCATCAAGGACCAGACATTGCGTTTCGTTGTCATGGCTACTTAGACGTCTTAAAAATCTAGAACGAATCTTTCATTGCTTTTTCACATCTTTCATGTTGATTGTGACAGTGACTTTTTTTTTTAATCCAGCTGGTTCACTTTTTTTATTGTGATTTGAGTGAAATTTTATGGAGAACATTTGTTTTCCATTCAGCCATTCATGCGCATTTTGCGTTATGGCCTCAATTACCGCGCCCACAATGTGACAACGTTCTTTTCACCTCTTCCCTGTGATTTTGGTTCTCATTCATTTTTCTAGCCTCTCCCTTCCTGCCTCATGGGTTTCATCACCGGGCAAATGCTGCCCTTTGAATTTTGTAGGGTTGGTTGTTCTAAGGAGAGTGTGCTTCCCTGATACTGTTGTTCATCTTTCTAGTCTGTTTTGGGGCTGCAGGTTGGACCACAGGGGTCCCAGCTGCCTTGGAAAAGCATCTCACAATGTGCATTAGTCCCATTACAGCTTCGTGACTAGTCTCACCTCAGATGTTCAAACAGGACGCTTGCTTGGGTGCAGTCTTCTCTATACCTCTCACTCGTGTACCATCAAGCGAGAACCAGCCCATAGCGGACCCTCTGGTGGGTTTTCAGAGGCAGTCAATCCCATGGGAGGAGATTGCCCGTCTCTTTCCTACAGAGAAGCTGGTGGATTAAAAACACACACATCTGCATTGACAGTGCAAGTCCTTCAAATTCTTCTCACTGTTGTTGTTTGATGTTGTCAAGTTTAAGACCACTTATAGCAACCCAGCGAACAACAGACCTGACCTGTGCTATCGACATTATCTCTGACACACTTGACATTATCTCTGACATCAGTCCATCTGACTGAGGGTCTTCCTAGCCTTCGCTGACCCTCCGCCTTTCCAAACATGATATCCCTTTCCAAGAACTAGCTTCTCCTAACAATATGTCCAAAGGATGAGCGATGAAACTTCACCATCTTTGCCTCCCCGGAGCATTCTGGCTACATTTTTCCCCAAGACGTACCTGTTCTTTTGGCGATTGATGGGCTATGCAGGCACGAATTTACCCCCTTTTTTTTGTTTTGTTTTGTTTTGTTTTCTCCCCCTCCACTAGTTTATTTACAAAACTTGAATACAAATTCAAACAAATTCTTTCTATTTCCCTCACCCCCCC